CAGACTCTTTAAATTGTATCTATCAAGTTAATCATATGATTTTCCTTTTATTATATTTATTATATATAATATTATATTGGCACTATATGTTATATTTATCATATGATGACTTATTATCCTATATATTATCCTAATATGCTAAGTGTCCAGTCATCCATTCAACCAATCAAAGCGTAATAAGTTAATGATATGCTAAGGCTGCTCAACAGCTCGCTATGATGTGCACTGACCACCAGGGGGGCAGACGCTTGGACCAGTAAGTTAGCTTGCTACTAGGGTCTGTCAGATCAGTACTGAGCGAGTCGGGCCAGACATGCTCTGGAGCCCTCCCGGCTGACCAACCTCCTGCGTCCCTCTCCAGCCCCGATTATGCACGTTGGGTCCCTTGGCCTGGCCTGTGCCCTCTCACAATCCAGGACCCTTTGGGGGATGTCAGACAGCCGGTTTTGACCCGATCCCGTTCAATGCAGGAGCTGCCGCCTGGTGGTCAGTGCCCTCCCACAGCCGGGAATGCCGCTCAGCCAGAAGCCAGGCTCACAGCTGGCTAGCATAGCTGCCATGGTGGGAGCCTCTCCCAACTTGTGGCAACTGAGGATGTCCAACTGAAGACTTAGGTCCGCTCCCCTAAGCCATCAGTCGGACATACCCCAAGGGCTCCTGGACTGGGAGAGGGCGCAGGTTGGGCTAAGTGGACCCTTCCCCTCCCAGTGTATGAATTTTGTATACCAGGCCTCTAATCTATATATATATAAGCCTCATTACGACCGGTCGACCAAACAATATGATGCGCACTGACCACCAGGGGGCAGACACTTAATGCAGGAGCTGCCCCCTGGTGGTCAGTGCACTCCCATAGACAACCTCCCACAGCCAGCTAACTTCCCACAATCCCTGACCCACGACAGCCCCAGTTGGGTCCTATGGGGTCTGGGCCAGGCTGACGGACCCCACCCATGCACGAATTCGTGTATCGGGCCTCTAGTAATTGTATAAAAAAAAATGAAAATCAGTCTCATTAAATCCTTTCCCTGTATGCCAGGGTTTCATTCTTCATTTTTGTTTGAGAGATTCAACCACAGACCAGTCTGAAACATGCCCCTCAGTACCACCATGCAGCTCTCCTTCAGCCTGACCTCTAAGCAATTTCACCTCAGTTCCACCCGCGGGCCTCTCCATGGCTTCCCAACTGCAAGCCCCCCGCCCCTCGCCC